AGGGCTTCTTTTGAATATATTGAGATAATCATGATTTTTATCTTTTGTTCTGTTAATGTGCTGTATCACATTAATTGATTTGCACATGTTGGTCCAACCTTGCATCCTGAAAACAATTCCAGTTGGTTGTGGTGTGTGATCCTTTTAATATGTTGTAGAGTTTGGTTTGCTAGTATTTTGTTGAGGATTTCTACATCGAAATTCATCAGCAATATTAGTCTGTAATTTTCTTTTCTTGTGTCCTTGTCTGGCTGGGGTATCAGGGTGATTGATGCTGGCTTCCTATGACTTTGGGAAGGTTCTGTTCTTTCCAGTTTTGGGGGGAGGGTTTGAGAAGGATTGGTGTTCTTGTTTGGTACAAAGCCCTGGCTGGGTAGCTCAGTTGGTTAGAGCATTCATTCCAATATGCCAAGGGTTGCAGATACGATCCTTGGTCAGGACACATACAAGAATCAACTAATGAGTGCATAAATAAATGGAACAACTAATCGATCTCTCTCTTTCCCTCTCAAAATCAATCAATAAAAAAATTAAATCTTTGGTAGAATTCACCAGTGAAATCATCTGGTCCTCATTTTTTTCTTTGTTGGGAGGTTTTTGATTACTGATTCAATCTCTTTAGTCATTTACATTTTCTGTTTCTTCACTACTCAGTCATGGCAGGCTGTATATTTCTAGTAATCGCTCTATTTCTTTTAGATTATTAAGTTTTTTGCATATAGTTGTTGTTAGCAGTCTCTTATAACCCTTTGTATTTTTGTGGTATCAGTTGTAATGCATCTTTTTTCATTTGTAATTTTGAGTCTTCTCTTTTTCTTGGTTAGTGAGCTAAAGGTTTGTGAGCTTTATTTACATTTTCAGAGAATCGACTTTAATTTAATTAATATTTTGTTATTTTTCTGGTTTCTATTTTATTTATTTCTGTTCTAATCTTTAATATTTCTTTCATTCTGCTAACATTGGGCTCAGTTTGTTGTTTTTCTCGTTCTTTGAGTTTTAAAGTCAAGTTGTTTACGTGACATGTCTCTTTCTACTTAACACAGTCATTTGATATTCACCTTTGAATTCTATGTACCAATTCTCTTGTAACATAGTTGATGTTGTTACTAATTGAATAAATAAACTTAATTCCAAAAAGATCTGTACCTGATATAAAACTGTAAGAAAGTTTAAGAGAATGCAGTTAAAGAATGGAATGACAATAATTAGACATCCCTACAGCTGGTAGGTGTGCAGGGCAGAGGGTGTGCGATCTGTCACATGGGGTCATGGCCAAGTAGTAGTAAAGCTATTCCTTCAGCAGATGTATATTGGACTTCAGGTGCTATGCTAAGTACTAAGTACTAGGAGCCTTCTCCCTGGAGGGCTCACAACTTATTGTGTTTGTTTAAAACAGTGGAGGAGGATGTCAGTAAGGGCGTTTACTCCAGGGATCAGGACCTGAGTCTGGGAGCCCCATAGCCTCCCAAAACCCCTGGCAGGGGAAGCAGGAGAAGAGAGCCTGAGGTCTCTGCCTTTTGTTCCAGCTCCTCTGTCCTCCGTAGCACAGGTGACTCTCACAGCATCTTGAAGGTTCTAGGGTTGACCTTGGAGTCCAGGCCTGGGCAATTAAAACAAGCTTAGCTGCTGTGCAGCCTGAAGTGAACACAGACCTCATCTCAAGGGGGACAGTGGAGACTTAGAGGGGTCAGAGCCACTTGGCTCCGCAGCCTGGCACACTTTGTCTTCATGACAGTCAGACATCCTGCTGTGGGGATATGTCCATGTGACCTCTGTGACTCCTTGCTTAAAACCACTAACATGTGCTACTTTGGAAATATTCAACATGTTGGTTTTGATTAAACAGAAGAAAGATTAAGGTGAGCTACTATTTAAAGCTCCAGCCTGTATACTTATTAAGGGAAGGGACTCAAAGTGCTTAAAAGTCATATGGGGCCAAGAATATGTTGTAGTTCAAAACACGATATATTGTTGCAGTTCATGTGGAATCCATCATAGGTTCTGTGAGGCAGGCACCTGTTGGGATCTGGACAGGAGCCTGGCCACCTAAATCACTGCCAGGAGATAGTGATGCACCCTGACTGTCCTGGAGGCAAGCTGTGGTGGGGACTGCTGAACCAGCAACCCTTCTCTCAAGCTCTTTGAAACTGTCCTTCAGACTGTCCCCAGCCAGTAGCCAAAGTAGCTGATGACTAGCCTTCAAAGTGGAGATGTTCCATTTGACACTCTTTTTCCATCTGGCAAAATCCTTCTCTTTAAATCTCTCTTCTTATGCATAAAGCACATCTCAATTCAGAAACTGTGGTCCCCTGTGGGACAGAAGCATTCCAGAGCCAAAACCACACAAGGCACAGGCATGAAGGAGATGGAAAACTTAACAGAAAGAGAAGTGGGCTTTTGGGTCAGATTCTCCATGTCCTTGTTGTGCAATACCCCTGAGCAAGTATTTTCCTTGGCATCAGAGGATAAAACTTGCTCTGCCTACCTAGCAGGGTCATGGCGTGAGTTCAGTCCAACACCACTGTTTAGAGAGCTGGGGTCCAAGTCACACCTCTGCCTGGGTTTTGTATCTGCCACCTACTCTAAGTGTCCCTGTAAGAAAATGACTCACCTTCAGGAGTACCTCAGTTTCTTCATTGGTAAAGTAGGGATAATAGTATCTACTTAAATAATGGTGTTATCAAGCTTAATGTTATAATTTATGAGAAGAGAACAGTGTCCAGCCTAAGGCAGAACCTCAAGAAATGGTAGCTATTTAACAAGTTATTACCAGGATAGTACACTCGACCCTTGAATGGCACTGGGGCTGGAGGTGCTTACCCTCCTCAAAATCAAAAATCTTTATGTGATTTTTGACTCCCCCAAAACTTAGGTCGTCCCTTGATGTCTGGTTCCAGGGCATTGGTTTCAGGACCCCATTCTGATACCAAAATCTGTGAATGCCTAAGTTCCCTATATACACAATGCATAGAGCAATGCAGACTGTCCATCTTCCACATCAGCAGACTCCCAAAGGCAATAAAAAATAGAACAGGTATTTACTGAAAAAAAATTCCTAAATTCAAACCCACATTCTTCAAGAGTCATCCGTGTTACCATTACTCTGACTACTGCCTTCATTACCATCACTCAAGGACATGGTGGGGAGCACCCTTTGGAACCTGTGGAGGCCCTGCAGTGGGGGGTTGTTACCAAGTAATGTCCAGGTTATCCTGATGAAGGCCGGTAATACCCAGGACTTGCTGTGGAACACCCCCACCTGGAACTCTTTGCGTCACAAATCATAGGGACAACTGTTTTCTTTCTATGAGGTGGCCTTTGAGTGCAGAAGTGGAGTGCATTTCAAGGTAAACTGAGGAGGGCTCTTGTCAGTTTTTTTACCAACTGGTTTCTGCTGTGGTGGGTCAGTGTTGATTTGTATTTGGAGCTACATACACTGGCTTAGGTACCTGCAGGCCCACTGCAGGTGCATTTGGACATGGCTTTCTGTGCCTTCACATGGCCTAGTAAAATATCCCTGGCTCCTCCCACAGCGACACCACCCCACCTTTCCCTTCTAGTTTCAGGTCTCCCTACCATCGGCTTAGCTTTATTCTCCTTGACCAAGGTGGTGACGAGTTAGCACAGCCATTCCCTCACCTCAGCCACTGTTTCCTAAGTGCCTGCAGCCCCAGCCATGCCAACCTCCCAGCCCATATCTGGTGCCCATCTGGGAGGAGCTGCCTCAGGGCCAGGGACAGTGAGTGGGGCGCAAATCATAACCCCTCATGGAGGTATGGTGGGAGTCGCCAGTGCCAGCCACTGCATTTGGCTTGGGGCATGGGTACAGAAAAATGTGACATAGTTTCTGTCCTTAGGGAACTCACAGCCTAGTGACAGGAATTCTCTCCTTGACCACAATCTATGCAGTCTCCCCTCCACTTTTCAACAAGGCCTCCACTTTGGGGTTTCTGTGTTCATCTCTGCATTGTCCAGTTTTAGCAAAAATCCTGCTGAGCTGCTGAAAAATGGACTCGCCCATTTTTCGCATACGACCAACCTCCATTTCTAATTGAGTTCCTTACCCCTACCATCCCCAGGTGATGTCTGACTCCCCAGCCTGCCTTTAGCGCAGCATCCTGCTGGCCTGCTTTACCCCAATTTCCCTCAATCCCAATGTTTCTTCAGTGATTTTCCATCCGCTGACCCTACCTGCTCCTCCCTGTAAGTTCCCACTTGCCCACGCTGTGCTTGGAGTGGGGCTTGGTTCTGTCCTGATGTCTCTTTTCTCCACTTTTATTCCTGAGTAAACTCTGTTTTTATCACTTTACTGTCTGGCTCTGGTTTTTCTTAGACAGTAGATGATACAGACACTGGTGAACAGCTGGTTTAATCCCACGTAGAATTCAAATAGGTGCAAAATATGAAGGGTTTCAAAAGAGGGCATAAAGTTGATTGGCCAAGGGGCAAATGACGGCACTTGGGGAAAGCCTGGAGCCGGAAACAGGAAAAACAGGTATTGGGGCCGGAAACAGGGGTTTCTCTGGCTCAAGATGCAGCCAGGGAGGCGTAGGTCTCCTTCATCAAGGCACAAGGGGGTCTGTGTGTGCACGCCAAGCACAGGAGCATAGGTTAGAGGAACATTTTTTACCTGTTAAGATGGCAAGGGATAAACAGGACCAGCCAGGGGGCTATTGTACTACTCACAGGAAATGATTCAGTCTGTGTGGATCGGTGGGGTTGCAGGAAATCAGAGAGGGAGAGGGCAGAAGAGGGAAGGGTGGATGTGGGAGATGGAGAGACATCAGAGACTTGGCCCATCTCAGCAACCTGAGAAGACACTCATGCCAGCTGCTTCTGTCATAATAAAAATGCATCAGAATTCAATCTTCCTTAGTCGGGATTTCACCCTAGCACCTCTTGCTCCCACATGCGAAAACACTGATAATTGACACTGGTTATCATGGCCAAGACTCAGAAAAAGCAAATAAATTAGTTTCAATAAAAATTTAGTTTTACATGTGTTCATCTGCTTTCTAATTTATTGAAATCAGGAGACTGCAGTGTAGTCGAGTGAATGCTCTAAAGATTTCCAGTATCTGAACACACATCCCATAGCCATTCCAGCAGCCAAAGGGTTTCCTAACTCGCTTTTAAAATTATAACCACAAAATCATAACCCTGCATAATGTAAATTGTTCTGGTATATAAATCAAAATCTTTCTTCTTGTCCTCTCTTCTATAAGTAAGACAGAATTCTAATCTACTTACCTTTCCTCCTTTGGATAAACTAATTTTTTTCTTGTTACGAAAAAATGAATTCTAGCCCTGGCTGGTACAGCTCAGTTGGTTGGACCACTGTCCTGTGACTGAAAGGTTGTGGGATTGATTCCCGGTCAAGGTGCATATGGGAGGCAAGCAATCAATGCTTTTCTCTCACACTGAAGTTTCTCTCTTTCTCTTCCTCTTGTCCATCCTCTCCAAAAGCAATGAAAAATTGTTCTCATGTGAGGATTAAAAAAAAAAAAAAGAATTCTAAATTGCTGCCTTGGAACCGAAGAATAGACCTGAATCCACAGCAGAGTGAAGATTACAGAGTGAAGTTCAGTTGACCTCACACCACAAATTAAGCTGCAGTCTGCTTAACTGCCAGCAACAATACATTAAGCAACTGTGCTTAAAGGGCGTTGGGATGGCACTGGGCAGGATGCAGGCTCTATTAATGAAAAGTACTCAGTCCGTCACTCCTGCCGCTGTCCAGTGCAAGGCAGCTGCCTCCTGCTGTCCCTGCGATGTATCATGTTCCAGCTCCTACTGTAGTATCACCAGAGAGGTGCTTCAAGGTGACCGTTCATATTTCTCTGGTCATTTGATAGTGGGTGGGGTTGAGGGTGATAAAGTCAAAGAAATTACTGTTAAGAAGTAACATTAAAATGTTCTCAAGTAGACCTGTGTGTAGTCAGAGATGGGCTGACTTCTAAGACACATCAAGTCAGGGTACATATTAATTTTCTTTCACTCTGAGGTCATTTCAGCTGGCATTTCCTATCCCCTAGGCCAGTAATGGTTTTACTCATTAAGTGACCCAATGCATAAAGAATAGGGAACTTGCAGAGGGGGAGCAGAAGTGAGCAAACCTCAGGAGCTGAAGGCTTCCATGAGCTGGTTACAAATGCCATACTCTATAAATGCCTCAAACACAATGGAATCTGGCAGAAAGTTCTGGTCTCTCCCCCAGCAAATTCTCACTGGGGATAAGGGCAGAAAAGGGACCATATGGATGTGCAGGCATTACTTCCTACCTATAGTGTGACTCAGTGCTAAACCATCCCACGTGTCACGGAAGGGGAGGTGTCACGGAGGACTCATGGAGCCATTCCTTGAGGAGGCCTGTTACCCATACCCGTCCCCTCCTCACAATGATGACAGGAATAGAATCTCCCCCTGAGATGTCAGAATGTCAGTGAAGCCCACATGACTGAGAAGTAGGGTGCTACACCTGAATACGCGCAGAGGGGCATGGATTTGGTCCCAGTAGCTCCACATTTACCATGTGAACCAGGACTGGTGGGCCATCAGCAGGCTGACCCCACCTGACACACCCAGTTAATGGCACAAACAGAACTTTGCCTGGACTCCCAGGAGGGAGGTGGTGCTGAGGTCCGGCTGGGCTGTGCCTTCTCTGGAACTTGATGTGAATTAGCACCTCCCTCCCCCAGCCATGCTGAGGGCTGAGAGCTGCTCTTCACTTGCTTATGTTTACCTTTCAGACAAGAAATTCAGTCTTAGACACAGGATCATAAGAAAGAAACTGAAAATGCAAAAGAAAAATAGATTTGCACAAAATAAACTTGTTCTCAAAACTAGAATCCAGGGCATGGCAGGTTTGCAGGCTGGGGCTCCAGAGCTCTGGCCTTCTTATGCTTGACCTCTGCGCCCATTCAAATTCAATTGTTTTCTCCCTCAAACTTCAGGTGAAGCTAGTAATGTGTTGCCCTTAGTGGATGGGGTTTCACGGTCTGTCTTCCCACCACTTAATGGCCAAGGTTGAGGGACCACTGTTTGAGTCTGTGGGAACATTAAGATCAGACCACAGTTCCGTGTCAGCCTGTGCTGGCCTCTGGGGTGTGTTCTCTGTGGACCCAGCTCCTGTCTTCTCCTGCACCGGATCTATCGGCTAGAATCTGTTTCTCTCAGAATCTTAGATTCCTCTCCCCTCCTGCCCCATGCAGGGACTGTACTACAGCTTCCATAACTGAGTGGTTTTCAAAACAAAGTGGCAAGAGAAAAAGAGGGGGAAAATAAGCAGGATTTTTCCAAATTCTTTGGAGTACAGGATTCCTTTTCCCAGGTTCTTGCCAGAGGCAGGTTTTCATCAGCATTTTAGGAGATTATACCCCAGCATGGCTGCAACTTCAGAGTAGGAGCAGAACCAGGAAAGGAGAAGAGAAAATGGTCCCTGGCAGTCCCCCACTCTGGCTGCAACAAGCCTCTTGTCCAGTCCTCTCTGAGTCATTCCTGTCCTGCCCATGGAGCAGTGCTGAGATTCACTGTCTTTAGGACAAAGCTGATATCAAGGAGGGAAAACCTGTCAGGTCACCACTGTGCTGGTCTCTTCGCTGATGCTTCCTTGCCAGATACCGCAATTACCAGCCTTTTCTATTCTGTCCCGAGCTCATGGTTGTCATCAGTATGGGGATGGCTGGCCATGGACCTGGCCCATCTAGGTGGCTCCAGAATGATGTGGTCTCTTTTTCTGAAGAAGGAAAACAGAAAGGAAGAAAGTTGGTATGGACAGCAAGTAGACTTTCTTTAGAAATAAGTGCACAATGCTTTCTTTTTTCATAATCCTTTGAGGTGCTATGTTGGCTGCCATGACATCCTTTTATTCTTCTCTCTGATATTCTTCCTGAAGGTGGATGGAGTTGGCTGTACAGATACAGAGGCAAGAGGTTGGGTATGCTTTCCTGACTTCTGAGATGCATGGTGTTTGGACTGTCCTGCATTTCCGAGCCTCTCTTGCCTTGCAGTTCAGGTCTGGCCAGAGGAGAGAACAGCCATAAATGGCTCCTCCCAGGCCTTCCTGATACCACCCATTCATCCATCCTGCACACTGTTGCTCTGTGGTCATTGCCAACTGAATGCAGAGGGTCAGCAGGCCTCCAGAGCACTTGGTGGAGCCAGATGTTGGAGAAGCCCTGAGTCCCTGAGTAACTGTGTGGAAAGAACAAGAAGTGTGGCTCCCTGACCCACATTGTGGGACACACAGAGCAAGTAGATGTCACTGAGTTCAGACGCTCAAATGTTCATTATGACAACTTAACATAATTACCCTAAAGGACAGAGTCTTCAATGGGCAATTAGAATCTCCCAGACTTGACCACTGAGTGTCAGACTTTTGACGAGTCACTTTCTGTCTCTCATCTTTGTTTAACCCCCTAAAAATGGGGGGTGTTGATTTCACCCACCAACGTTAAATTTTCCCTGCTGAAAGATAAACTGGAGCCATCTCTGGAAAGAGAGAGCATAGAAGACAAGGTATTATTATTAGCATAATTTTGAGTACCACTCTGCCAAGTACACAGAGAAAAATTATTAATCATCCCTTAACTTTGACAGAGTATCTGAGTATCACTTCTGCAGTTGTGATCTGCAGATAATTAGGAAGGACACATTCCCACTGATTAAGCTGCCTTTCCTGATCATTGCATATCCGTGAGCAGGATCATTCATGGGCACTGTGCCTGTGACAGCCACCAGGACCCAGCCAAGGTGCCAACAAGTGGATCTGCTCCCAATAGGACCCTGGCACAGCCTTCTGCGAATGGCATACCAGGCACATCTGTGTCGCTTGTTAGATGTGGGTCGATGCAGAGAGAGGGTAACTGTTCCTGACTGCACTGCCCGCCTGCTCATTTCTGAGATGGTTAAAATGTTTGGAAACTCCTTTAAGAAACCAGGTGATAAGGTGAAGAAGCTGTTCACCCTAGCGATAACATTAGAAGTGACTGAGGCACATCAGCTTTATTAAAGGCACTGGAACCTCCTGTGATTGGAGGAGACAAAAGCTGTGGAGGCTGGTACTCTGGCTGGTGGCCCTCAGACCCACTGACCACCAGGTTCCCTGGGCAGTTACTTACACCCAGCCCAGGCCCCAGCCAAACCTCCTGGGACAGAATCTCTGGGGCAAGGCAAAAAAAATCTGGGTCCCCTGCTCCCTGGTTCCGACAAGAGTCGGAATTTCTGGTCTCACAACAGGGAAAGGCAATTAGAAACCCTAGGGAAACACTCCATAATAAATGCACAGCCCAATCTGGTTCAGGGAAAACAAGGGTTGGTCTGAATACTTAACAAGGTGTAAGAAAGAAAAACTCCTGAGTTTGGCACTAGGACCTCTCCTGTGAGTAGAAAAGTCCAACCCACAGCCAGGTCAGGCACTTGGTCCCCTGATGCAGGGGTATGGGTTGACAAGCTTCAGGAGGTTGGCCAGCAAGGGGATTTCCCACCTGGGAGGTCATGTGACCAGGTGCCACAACCCATGTGGGGACCTTGCATGGGTCCTTCGGGCAGTAGCTGAAACGGGATGACTGAGGATGGCTGTGGAACTCACAGGGCCAGGGAGGCAGAGCCTTGCATCTGGGGTCCCGTGTGGCTGCTCAGAAACCTGTTTACCTTCACAAGCAGGTACACAGGAAACAAATTATTGTGTTTGTGCCACTCTTCATTTTGGGATGTATGTTACAGTAATTAACTAGGCTAATTCAGGTTAATTGGTTTTCAACTTTTAAACTCTATACACAAAGCACCAGAGACTATAAGGACTGTCAACCTTAACAAGGGGAATTGTCTGTCATCGGCAGCGAAGTTGGGGAGAGGAGGGTGACCATGTGGCCACCTTCACGTGCATGGTGGGGCATCAAGGGAACCTCATTAGGGGAAAATGTTAGGAATTGATGGTTGTGCAGATTACCTGTAAATATGCTAGACTCTGATGTGCCTGTACTGGTGGCTGAGGCAATCCACATTCCTACCTGTCAGCAGGAAAAGCAGTGACGCTGATTAAGGTGTGTTAGGTTAATCAAAAGGTACGGAGGTGACCCCTGGAGATATGACCTCAGAGCCAACGGAAGGAGTGCCTCTGAGAAGCAGGCCTGGAGGTGGGGAGGGGGGTGAGTGGGCTCCTTCCTCCCCCTCTTCTTGCTCCCTTCCCCTCTCCTCCCCTCCGTCATCCCTTTCTCCCATCATCCATCTCTCTCCTTCCCTCCATCGCTCCCTGTCTAATCAGCCCTCTGCACGATTTTGTATGTTAAACATGTGCACTTATTACTTTCCTCAGGGGAAAAGGTCAGGTTCCACTCTCCACTTTTGACCTTTCTAGAGAAAGATATTTAACCCTCAATTTCTGCATCTGTCCAGTGGGGTAATAACTGATTACAACATAGGCTGTTTGAGGTTTAAATGAAGTCAGTTCATGGAAAGCCCATAGTATGGCACTGGACACATGGTAAACGTCAACAAGTATCCTGTCTTTCTTGCTACCATCACTGATTTGTCAATCTGCCCGATCTCCCTTTGCTACAGTGACACTGCATGTGCCTTGTGCTGTGTTGGAAACATGGTCCTACATCTGAGTCTACAACACCTGTTCTAGTAAATGCACATAAAAGGAGATAGACAGGGAGTCTGCTAGGGCAGCCTCAACACTCACATGTACATCCCTGAGGAGGGAATTAGGCTGCATCCCCCCTCCCATCAGCCAGTGGCAGGATTGGGGCTGTTTTTTCTCCTCTCATCAAAAATGCATTTCACGTGACAGAAAGGGAAAAAAGAAAATTATTCATAAAGGAGAGGTTGGAACACAAAGATTCTACAGAGCTCAGCATTTTCTTAAGAGCTCTTAATGATCCTATGAAATGTGGGTTTCATGACTTTTTGTCCCTTCCTCTTTTCTTATTTTGCAGCTGTCGTGCTGCTCGTCATCTGACAAAGAGGCCTGCCAGCCTGGGGGAGGGGCACACTGGTGCGGCTGTGGTTGAGCTGGAATGCCTGCACCAGGAAGGAGTTTAAGGAAACCCAAGCAAACTGTCGATAATGTTTCAGAAGCCGGAGATCTTGACATGGGCCAAATCTGAGAAGTGAGCAGGACACATTCCCTGGGACCAACAACAGGTGCAGAGATGCCATCGACCCCAGCCCCTCACAACAGATGGGTGTGTAAGTGGATGTGACTGCGTGTGACTATGAATGTGTGAATGTCAGTATGTATACATGACCATCAATGAGTGTGTATGAGTGTGAGTGTGTGTCTATGCACATGCCCCGGGGAAGGGACTTTTTTCATTGTAACCTCAAGGCCTTAAATTTAGACCTTTGGTCTTACCTTCAGATGAAGCTAAAGACACTGACAGCCTTGATCAATGATGCCATCTGCTTCTAATGTGTGTCCTGCAGTGGACACACACCAACACCGCTTAAGGAGTTATTACTTTAGAAAGTAAATTCTACAATTTTCTTTTGATAGAACAATTGTATGGAGTCAGTTGTTTGGGGTTAAAATATGTATTAATGTAAATGTTGAAAATAAACCACCATTTTGAGCGCCGTTTGGCACTTCTCAGCTGGCTCACGCATGGGTGACTCTGGCACTGCTGGCAGGTGCGGTTGCCATGCAGGGTCCCCACCCATCAGCTGCAAGTGGCTGTGCATCGGGTGAGCTTGCTCAGCTGTCCTCAAATGTGTGAGAAGGTAGCAGCTGGCCTGATATGCAGCTCTCTGCACCTGCACACAATGGCGACTCCCCACACCGGCACCATTTGGCTTTCTTAATGTACCCATAAGGTAGGAAGAAGAGAACCCAGGCTTGTCCAAGACTGCTCAGCGGCCCTCAGTCCCCAGACTCTTCTCACTGCTGCATGTCCATAGGCCTCATGAAAGTAGGAGTTCAGGTAGCGTGAGCACAACTCACCCCAGTTCTGTTTGTAAGGCCTGGCCTGTTTTTTCTTTTTCTTTCATAGATATTTTTATCACAGTAAAATATGCACAATGAAATTGATCATTTTAACTATTTTTCAATGCACAGTTCAGCAGTGTTAAACACATTTATATTGCTGTGTGGCTGACACCACCGTGATCTCCATCACTGCTTCCACATTCTCCAGCTGACACTTTATCCCCACAGAACAACTCCTTGTGCCCCTGCCCCACCCCCCGTGACCTCCCTCTTACCTGTCTCTAAGACACTGAAGACTCTAGGGACCTCCTACGAGTGGAACCACACACCATTTGTCTTTTCGTGATGGGCTTATTTCACTGAGCATAGTGTCTTCAAGGTCCATCAAGGTGGTAGCATGTATCACAATGTTCTTCCTTTAACAAATGGAATTTATTGGAGTGACATTGGTTAATGTAATTACACAGGTTTCAGGTAGGTGTACAATTGTGTAACACATCCTCTGTATACTATATTGTGTGTCCATCACCCCCAGTGATGCCTCCTTCCATCACCATTTATCCCCCCTTTGCCCTCTTCTACCTCCCCCAACCCCTTTCCCTCTGGTAATCACCATGCTGTAGTCTGCATCTATGAGATTTCTTCTCTGCTTAATTCCTTCACTTTTCACCTAGCCCCCCAACCCTCCTCTGACATCTGTCAGTTTTCTGTATCTATAAGTTTGAATTTATATTGTTTATAGTTTTGTTCTTCAGATTCGATCCACATAAAAGTGAAATCATATGGTTACTTGTCTTCCTCTGACTGGCTTATTTTACCTAAACAATACTCACCAGGTTCATCCATGCTGCCACAAAGGGTAAGATTGTCTTTTTTTGGCCTAGTAGTATTCCATTGTGTAAAGGTATCACTGCTGTTCCATTGCTCATCTAATAATGGGCACTTGGGCTGCTTCCAAATCTTGGCTATTGTACAATAAATAACACTGCAGTGAACATAGGGGAGCATATATCCTTTCAAATGAGTGTTCTATACGTTATTAGCATCTTTATTTGTAAGAATTGTTTTTTGACTCCCCCAGACAAATGTATACACAGAAAAATCAAGCCCTCATGAGTGAGGGTTTGATTCAGTAGGATCAGCATGTTTGCCATTCTCTATAAAATTTTTCCTAGTAAATATCACATTTTTATTATTTGATTTAGAAACTGCCACCCTTCTGCCTCTACCCTGAGTTACTGCAAAGACACAGAATGGAAAGCAGGACATACCTGTAAGGAAGAGGGAATACAGATGAGGTTCAGGTTCTCTTGTTTCACTCTTTCAGCTGTGGAGACAAAAGCTGTGTTGGTGGATTTTCACTCTCCTCACTTTATTCTTCCTGTCATGTACACATTTGCTCAAATCCAACAGAAAACAAACGCATTACCCCTGATGGCTGCCTTTCATTCTGTGTCCCCACTCTTGGTGAAAAAGTTGGTGAACTTAACATCTCACATCACAAGAATGGGGCATTATAAAGCCTAAGGAAGTGAGTACTAACTACAGAAAGAACAATGCCAGTGGTTGCTATTATTATTATGTGCCTGGCAGCATTCAAAGAACTGTGTACAAATGAACTCTTTCAATCTTAAAGATTAAGTTACAACTAATTATCTCCATTTTACAGGTGAGCAAACTGAGCCTCAGAGAGGTAAAGTACAATGATGGGGTAGTCACACAGCTAACAAGTGGCAGAACTGGAACATGATCCCAGGCGGTCTAGCTTCCCAGTCTTAAGTATTTCCCTATACTCCCTTTTCTAGGGAAAAGCTGGAACTCAACTTTTACATTAAGTAAAAATATATAATCATTTGTAGACCCCAGAGAGTTGTTAGAGTGGGTTTATTTATTCATCTGGGGGATTGCACATCTCAGGAAAACATGATTTTTAAAAAAGTTTTAAGAAAAACACTGTCTTATTAAAATTTAAGTCTTTTCATCACTGGGTATGATGTATCTTGTGAGGTTTGATATCAGTATTATGAAATCCACAGTTAATTCCTGTGCTTAAAATTCTTCACATGCTCGGTGCTAAGGCAGCAGTGCATGAAGACCACATCAGGCCAATGAGAAGGCTCCCAGGAGCCAAAACACGAGCACCACAACCACCCCTGAAAGACAAAGCACTACTGGGCTTTGTCTCCTGAACACTGTCCCCCTGGGACCTAGAAGAGGTCAGCATTTGGGAAAGGCTCTCCTCTGGGCTTTGTTCTTACACACAAGAGTAGAGCAGTAAAAACCTGGTGAGCAGCCACAGGGGCTGACAACTCTTGAGTCTTTTATTTTAACTTTTTTATTGATTATGCCATTACATTTGTTCTATTCCCCCCTCCCTTCCCCTCCACCCTGCATACCCCTCCCCCACCATTTCCCCCTTTAGTTCATGAACACATGTCTCAAATTCTTTAGATTCTGTATTTCCTCTACTATTCTTACCCTCCCCCCATTTTCTATCTACTGTCTATGCTACTTATTTGCTGTACCTTCTCCCCCCTTCTCCTTCTCCCACTTCCCTGTTGCTAATCCTCCACGTGATCTTCATTTCTATGGTTCACTCCTGATCCAGCTGTCCTCTTAATTTGCTTTTGTTTTAGGTGTGGTTGTTGATAACTGTGAGTTTGCTGTCCTTTCACTGTTCAACTTTTTTATCTTCTTTTTCTTAGGTAAGTCCCTTTAACATTTCATATAATAAGGGCTTGGTGATGATGAACTCCTTGAATTTGGTCTTATCTGAGAAGCACTTTATCTGTCCTTCTATTCTAAATGAAAACTTTGCTGGATAGAGCAATCTTGGTTGTAGGTCTTTGGATTTCATGACTTGGAATACCTCTTTCCAGCCCCTTGTTGCCTGTAAGGTCTCTTTTGAGAAATTCGCTGACAGTCTGATGGGAACTCCTTTGTAGTCATCTACAAAGGAGTTCCTGAGTCTTTCTAAGCACAGAGACACCGTAATCCAAGTAAAGTCAGCGCCTGCGGGAACCAGCTGCCAACTGCAGGCACCTTATATTCTTTCTAGGGTCAAGCCTGCAATGATCTGGATTTGTTAACCTGAGATTGCCTGAAAAACCCACAGACTTCAAAGCTTGCCTGAGGGTCCCCGAGACCACACACACACTGGGTGATGATTAAAATTCTGTTGAGATCTCACCATGTGTTTCCTCCTCCCATCTAGCTGAGCAGAGTAAACAAAGCAAGGGCAACTCCGAAAGGTGGCTGAAGAAGCCCAAGAACCCCTGTCCAAGGGAAGTGCAGGAACACTCGGCTGACCTCAGACCAGCCCCCACTTCCTCCCAGCCTCATATCGTTGGGGTATAGGTTTGGCACTCCCCCACCGCTTCTACCTCCCCACATCCACCACGCCACACAAAACATCTAGAAGACATCTCAAGAACATATCTATTCACTCACAGCATGGAACAAAACTTATTAATACCATCTTTTATTCCTCTTCAGCCCACTTCTGAGAGCTATAAAATTATTATGAACACTAATTTGCCACCCTGGGTGCAAGGCAGGTACTGTGCCCATTTTACAGAAACAGCCACTGAATTTCAAAGCTGTGCTTTATTATAGTGCCCAGTGGCAATTTACCAGCAGAGCCCTCCTCCTTTCGCTTCTGACACTGACTTCACCAATTTCTCCTGTTGAAAGATAAACTAAGCAATATATAAAATGTTAAGTGTTTATTTAAGCAAAAACTGGTTTGAATTGGGCAGCATCCAATCTAGCAGAGAGAAAGAAGCTCCAAGGAACTGGCCCAAATCAAAAACTTTTACAAACTTTCTAAGAGATGGAGGGTCTATCAGCAGATTACTGACCTAGCAGGTGATTCCTGACTGACTAACTTAAGATTCTATTTCTGGGAGAGCCAAACTGTAATTAAGAGAGTGTGGTGAGCTGGGCTTAGCATAAGTGACTCTGTTTTGGGCCTTTTGTCTAATATTTAACATTTCCTACATCATACCAGACAAAAAGCTTGGTTTGCTTACAATGTACAGCAACTTAAGCCAGCCTTCCAAAAATAGCCAGCAGGTGAGCACTGGGTGATCAGAAAGGAAAGACGGTTGGTGGCAGGGGGTGGGAGTGGGGGGGTGGAGCGGGGACGAATATAGCCTAGGTGCATCCAAATAACAGAAAACCAAGGTTTCTGGCTTCAGTGTCTTTTCTGTTCCTTTTTAAATTTTGTTTATTGCTTTTACAGGGAGAGAAAAGGGGAGTGAGAGAAACACCGGTTTGTTGCACCACCCATCCACGCATTCACTGGTTGATTCCTGTATGCGCCCTGACTGGGGATCAAACCTGAAACCTTGCTGCTTTGGGACGATGCTCTAACCAGCTGGGCTACCTGGCCATGGCTTCAGTGCACTTGCACAAAACCTTAACATCTAGAAGTCAGGGGACTGACCACAGATACCTTCACGTCTGTGGCCTCACAGAGAACATGAGGGACACATCCAGCCCACCATCTACCGCTTCCTCCCCCAGAGTTAACAGAAGAGGGTAGAGTCTGAAATAACCTAAAAATAGCAAATCACACTAGCATCTGCCCAGCTGATGCCAAGGAGTCCACATTTTACATAAGCCTGTTTGAAAGAATATGGAAAGGGGGCAAAAACTTAGAAACATGAGAAAGTCTTCGTCTGCAATAGGAAGGACTTACAAAGATGTACAACACTTCCTGAGTGCAACAGACAAGAAACAGACATTGCTACTGAGCCTGTCTTCTTAAAATAAGGGGGAAGGACCTATGAGTAGACTAGGGGCAGACAGGGACCAAGCTGAGGTTAGTTGGAACACAACACAACATGGTCAGGTTACAAACAGTCAGGAACTAATGTGGAGCTCAGTTCCCAAGAAACTTCCTGGAAGCAGTCCCCTGCCAGTCCAAAGCAAAATGGCTAAAAACCAGAGCAGCAGCTACCATTTATTAAGCAATGTCAAGAATATTTATAAATGTTATTATAAGGCATATCTCACAACAGCCCGTTGTGATCTCAAGACCCATTATCCCTACTTTAGAGATGAATTCGATGCTCTAAGAAAAAAACTTAAGACTTGAAAATAGACAAAGGAGATCACTGGATATCCATTCAATGACAGGCTGGAGCCTGTAGGTACTGTTTTATCTGACCCTGCAGGGGTGTGTGCTTTTACCTTTGAGACAGCAGAGGCACCTCTTCCCAGGACCCCAAGGGCACCAGATGGCCAAAATGAATGCAGGATTCCAAAATATTACTATCCCTCCACTTTCTACTCAAAAACACAGAAATAGCTGATTTTATCTTCCTTCTGTCTTCTTCAACTGCTGACCCATCTGCACAGTGGATGAAGGTTTGTTGGCCATCTTGCTCCCACGACTAAGGAGCCAATCACCAAACAACAGAGCTGGAAAAGGACATCACCCAAACCTGAAATGGGAAATTCTGCGAGCCTGCCTTTTCCAAAATGCCCTCCTTTTCAGGCAAGCCCAATTTGTCCCCAGCTTATAAAAACAGCCAAGCAGGGCCAGCCCCTGAGCCATTTCAGAGGATTGTCCTTTTCTCTGTACTGGAGCATAAGCTTAATAAAATCTGCCTAGAACGTTCTATGGGGTTTCCTCTCAATTTCTATCTTGGGGAACCCAAGAACCCCAAAGCCAATAATATCTTGACTAAGCCATTTTACAACTCTAGAGATGGACTTAACTTGAAGAAAAACATTAACAGTGCAAACAATTCTTTGCCAAATTCATTTATTAGATTTAGTAGTTTTTTTCAAGCCTTCAGGGTTTTCTATGTACAGTATCATGTCATATGCAAAAAAATGACAATTTTACTTCCTCTTTTCCAATTTGCATGCCTTTTATTTCTTATATAATTGCTCTGGCTAGGACTTCCAGTACTATGATGAATAAGAGTGGTGAAAGCAAACAACCCTGTCTTGTTTCTGATCTTAAGGCAAATGCTTTTAGTTTTTGCCCATTGAGGATGATGTTGGCTGTAGGTTTTTCATATATGGTCTTTATCATATTGAGGTATGATCCCTCTATTCCCACTTTGTTGAGAGTTCTTATATAAATGAATGGTAGATTTTATCTAATACTTTTTCTGCATCTATTGATATGACCATGTAATTTTTACCTTTCATTTTGTTCATGTAATTTATAACATTTATTGATTTGCAGATATTGTACCAACTTTCAATCCCTGGAATACACTGCACTTGGTCAAGATGTATGATATTTTTAATACATTGCTGGATCTGGTCTGCTAACATTTTGTTGAAGATTTTAGCATCTGTGTTATCAGGGATATTGGTCTATAATTTTCTTTCTTTGTAGTGTCTTTATCTGGTTTTGGAAAGAGGATACTGCTGACCTTGTAAAAAGAGCTTGAAAGTCTTTCCTTCTTTTGAATTTTATGGAATAGCTTGAAGACGATAGGTATTCTTCTTTGAATGTTTAGTGAAATTTGCCTGGGAAGGCATCTGGTACAGGACTTTTATTTGCTGGGAGTTATTTGATTACTGCTTCAATTTCATTATTTGTTATTGCTCAAGTTTTCTGATTC